GCATCATAGCTCACAGCAACCTCAAATTCTTGGGCTTAAGCAATTCTCTTGCCTCAGCCTCCCAAGTAGCTGGGATTACAGGCGCCCACCACAACTTCTAGCTATTTTTATTTATTTATTTATTTTTGGTTGTAGTTGTCAATTATTTGGCAGGACGGGGCTGGATTCAAACCTGTCACCTCTGGTATATGTGGCTGGCACCCTAGACACTGAGCTACAGGCACCAAGCCTAAATATACTCCATTTAAAGCAATGAAGCAAGGGACCAGGCTGATAGCTGGTCAGGACCCCACATTGCTGTGGGTGGAGTCAACTCACTCTGGATGGCTGCATGCCAGATGAGAGAGCTGAAGGGCCCTGCCCCCCAGCACGCCATTCCCCAAGGGTTATAGCGGCTTACCAAGGATGAATGGTCCAGCTCTCTTTGCATTATTTCCAGAGATCCCGCTTCCTAGTGCCTTCGCCTTGGCCGACGTTTCCCCAGCTCCTCTGTCTGATGCTCTCCGCTTCATTCTCAGCTCTGGGTAAGACAGAAAAGACCCCAGCTCACTAAGTCACAGAAATGACTCCTCATGCATGCTAACCCAGCCTGTAAGTCTTTAACTTGGGATGTGTCACACAGTTGCTGCTGCTCCGCCACAGCCACCACTTCCACCCCCTCCCAAAGGAGCATCTAACATTCCCAGTGACAAGGAACCACAGCTCCTGTCCCTGGGATTACTTAGATGCTAAAAGTGGATGTCCTCTAAGGCAGCACATACAGGCTACAGAGGTGAGAGGCCAGCATGCTAAGGAACTGGTCAGATTCAGAGAAGAGACAACTGGGCTTTATGCAGGTGCAAAAGCCAAACAAGAGCCCAAGGTATCACCAGAGAGGCAGAGAGAAGGAATCCGGAAGCAACTATTCCCGAATGAGAGCTTCCCTCCAATACTTATAGCCAAATGGCTTGAAGGGCCATTCCTGGCCCATCTCTGGGGAGTGGGCCCCCCCCAAAAGGGAAGCTATGAATGATGGTTCTTATGAGAACTGCTGCCCTAAGGGCCTCCTCTCCCTAACTCTCTGACTCTCGGGTCTTCTCAGATGAAAGAAACTCAGGCTGGGCACAGTGGCTCACGCCTGTAATTCTAGCACTCTGGGAAGCCAAAGTGAGTGGATTGCTTAAGCTCACAAGTTTGAGACCAGTCTAAGCCAGAGAAAGACCCCGTCTCTAAAAAGACTAAAAATATAAAAAACTGAGGTTTTTTTGGTTAGGGCACAGGCTACATACACCAGGGCTGGTGGGTTCGAACACAGCCCAGGCCTGTCAAACAACAATGACAACTACGACAGAAAAAAAAAATAGCTAGGCATTGTGGTGGGCACCTGTAATCCCAGCTACTTGGGAGGCTGAGGCAAGAGAATTGCTTAAGCCCAAGAGTTTGAGGTTGCTGTGAGCTGTGATGCCACAGCACTCTACCAAGGGTGACATAGTGAGACTCTGTCTCAAAAAATAATAAATGAATAAATAAATAGGCTTAGAGCCTACAGCTCAGTGAGTAGGGCACTGGCCACATACACTGAAGGTGGTGGTTCGAACCCAGCCTGGGCCTGCTAAAACAATGACAACTGCAACCAAAAAATAGCTGGGCATTGTGTTGGGCCCCTGTCTTGGTATAGGTTCTGAGTCTCCCTCTCCCAGATGGGACTACAAATTGGCACAGCCATCTGGGAGCAAGCTGGTATTGTGAATCCAATACCTTTAAAAACAAGTACCCTTGGGCGGTGCCTGTGGCTCATTGGGTACGGTGCTGGCCCCATATACCGAGGGTGGGGGGTGGCCCCAGCCAAACTGCAACAAAAAATAGCCAGGTGTAATGATGGGCACCTGTTGTCTCAGTTACTTGGGAGGCTGAGGCAAGAGAATTGC